TTTTAAGTTCCCTAAAGGAGATCTGCGTGCCTTTATTAGTGTTATAATAAACTTTTTGCCACCTGCCTGGAAGACTGCTTGAGTCTGTGAATTCTTTCCAGACAACTCAGCCTGTACCTTGGTATTTTGGGGTCCCTATACCCCTAAGTCACATCAGTACCATGTTATGGCAGCCAAGGAAAGTAAAGATATTACAAAGAAAGGGGTGCTCCACAGTGCTAAACACCACAGAGAGGTTCAAGGATGATGAGGAAACAACTGGATTTAGGAATATGGAGGTAATTAATGACCTTGGAGAGAGCTCTTCGGTACAGTAGTGGGGATAGAAGCAAAATTGCATAAGATTGAGAAGTGAGTAGGTGACGGAAAGTAGAAGAGGCAAGTGCAGACTATTCTTTCTAAGCATTCAACAGTGGGCTAAGGAGAGAAACGGAATGATAGTTTAATGGGATGGCACAGCCACCACTAGAGTTTGTTTTTAACACTTTTTGTTTGTCTTTTTGTTTTCTTCTTAGTATGTTTCTATTGTGAGGGGGAGGATCCAGAAGGAAGAGAAAGACTCAGAGAAGTGATGAAATAATGGAACAAGGCTACAGAAGAGACTGAGAGAACAGGTTAGCTTCATTGAGAATGACCACCTCCTCCTCTGAGACTGAAAGGAAGAAAAAAGGATTAGAGAGGTGGAATTAAGAGAGCTTATTGACAATGACCTCAATCTTTTTGGTCAAATAGGAGACAAGGTAATTTGTTGAGAGGTATATGGGTGTGAACTTGGGGGTTAGGAAGAGAAGGTTTTAAACAGTGCTGGGAGAGTGTGAAAAAGAGTACATAAGAGATTAGTGGGGGGAATAAAAGTTTCCATGCTTCAGACAGGGCCCAGAGATTAGAAAGCAGACATTTGCAGCTAACAGTGAGCAGTAAGCACAATTTTGTGGTTTCCTCCAGGTATCAGCAGCAGCCATGGAGGAAAGTAGAAGTTAGCCAGGACTGAGGGTTAACAGGGCTGAAAAGGTGGAAGGTCAAGGAAAAAAGGGACTGAAGGGTGAAGGAAGCAAGGGAACTCTATTGATTTAGCTGACCATAGGGTAAAGACTGGGCAGAGAGGAAAGTGAAACCAGAACAGGATTATGACAGATTTGAAGAAAGGAGGAAAATCAAGAACCTTCCTATGCCAAAATCAGTAGCCATTATGTAAAATATTTTTCAAACTGAAACCCCAATAAAGTGACCCTTGGCTGCTAAGAATTCCAGTAAAAAAAATTTTTTTTAATTTCCAGTCAACTAAGCAACCAGAAAAAATTTAAATATACACTAAGATATTTTTACATTGGATATTTAATAGCACATATTTCTATTAAAAGTGGCTATCTTAGCCATAAAACACTAAAATAATTTCTTGAAAACTTGTGTTATGTAAAATGCCAATCAAGCTTGATTACTATACTACAAATAGGCTGTTATGTGGGTTCCCACTCTGCCATTTGGTTGAGAAGGTTGCCATCTACTGGAATAACAGAGACTGAACACTCACCCCGACTATTTAAGACTTCAAATTATATGAGTAATACTAATAATAATACTAATACTACTTATGTCGTAGCATAATTTCTTCCTTTAAAAAGTAATTCAAAAGAAACATAAAATCAGCAGATTTAGAGAATCCACCCCAAATGTTCACATGGACTATTTGTGCCCAACCACTAGTAGAGCATTTCAAGTTTGTATGGGTCTGATCAGCCACAGGCGGACATGCTGTAACTTGACTCTAACATAGTGATGTCATTTTGGACCTCTTCAGGAACAAAGGACAACAACCACTAATGGAACCAGCAAAGGGAAACTGTGATAGCAACTAAGCACTATAGAGCCCCATAACTACTTGGTCACTGATCAAGTTACTCTAAACTTTAAAGTCTAAAGATACAGCTGTGATATAAATTAGTCTTGTCACATTATTCAAGGAGCTATGACAGGAACTACCTAAGCGATCCTTATTATTTCATTGCTTACCTTTTTTTTTTAGAAAAAAGGTTTTAAATAAAGAAAAATGTTTACCCCTACCCTACTAATCCCCAACTGTTATTTCTTAACCCCCCTTTTCATTTTGATACATTAAAATGACAATAATAATTTTAAAGGGTACTATACCTGACATAAGAATTATCCTTAAGGAAAGGTAAAATAAATTTTGTCTTTCACTGCTCTTGTCCACTGGTACCTTCATTCCCCCCTTTCCCCAATGCATAAACACACACACACACACACACACACACACACACTCTTTCAGAAGGTCCATAACACACTAGACAGTTGTTGGAAAAGTATGAAATTAAGGAGAAGGTAGCTCCACTAAATGGTGTTTAAAATACTTATAGGGGTCATATATATATATATACATATATATATATACATATATATATATACATATATATACATATATATATATGTATATATATGTATATATATATACATATATATATACATATATATGTATATATATGTATATATATATACATATATATACATATATATACATATATATATACATATATATATATATATAAACTAAAAGATTGAATTGTCCCTTCCACACCCTTCCCCTATTCAATTTGATTTATTCAATAAAAGCACTTATCAAATGCCTACCATGTGCCAAGTTGCACTAAAGAAGCTGCCCTTACGTATTTTCCCCTTCAAGAATGTCCCAATGTTCATTATAATCTTATTTCACATGTATAACAACCAAAAATCATGGTTAAAGTATTATGCTAGCTGTCACTGTAGGAGATATTATAAAAATTAAATAAAGCACTATACTTGTTCTTAAGGAACTCCAATTAGATACTTTAACCAATTTCACAGTATGCTCTGTTTCAGTTCTTTATAGTATTTTCCACAAATCTTTCCTAAAAGAGTGGTGATGGGGAAATACACTTCTTGAATGTTTAAAGATCTGTCACATCATGGGTGTGGGGACTCCCTCCACAGATGTAGATGGCAACCCTTCTGTAACTTAATGGTCTTCCCTGTTGCCGCTGAAAAATTCATTGCCCTGCAGCCAAACTAGAGATGAGTTTCTCTGAACTTAGCTGGGCTAGTCCTCAGACAACTGACAAGTATGTTGACCTGTATTTGAGGCCTTTCCGAGTTGCCGTGCTTGCCTTCTACTTAGCATAACCTCAAGAATCCAGAATCATTTCCACCTCATGATTGCCAAGGAAGGCTTTAGTATAGGTACAAAATAAAGACACAATGCACTTGAATGACATCAAATTCCACTTGCCTCATTCTCTTGCTCATAATAACTCATACACTAATTGTCCATACTACTCACTTAAGTGTATTTTATATGCATATTATATGTATGTATATATTCATTTTATATGAATATGTAGTTTTATATGTATATGTCTTTGCTCTCCCACTAGATTGTAAGATCCTGAAAGGGAGAAATCTGATCTCAAAGACAGCATGGTACAATGCAAACAGGTTTGCAACTTACCACCTGTGTGACCCGGGCAAGTAATTTAATCCCTGTACTGGAGTTTCCTCCCCTATTAAATAAGGAACTTGAGCTAGATGAGGTCCTTTCCTGGTCTAAATCTCTGATCCTGTTTCTTTATATTACAATACCCAAGCATAGTATATTTTATGTAGGAGATACTCAATACATTTGTCAACTGATCTCTCACCCCAGTCCATACTTTTGTAAATGGGGTTGATACTATTCACACAGTCAGTAGACCATCTACCATATATATTTTAATAGTAGTAGGATTTGTACTGTCCAGATAACATTCTCTTAACTGAATGTCCTTCACCTTTAGCTTACCATCCTCTCCATCTCCTCACTTAAAAACAGAAATTTAAGGTGCATTACTCCTTTCATTGCAGAGGTGAGAGGCTACGAGTGTGAAAGATGGCATGTACTGTTGCTATGCTGGTTGGTTTTACTGTTCTTTTTTTCTTTTTTAATTTTATAAGGGGAGAGAGATACAAATGTGACAAAAAATAAAAGGCATAAATTAAAAATTACAATTAAGAAGTTCAAGGTGCAAACAGAGCAAGCTAACTAACTAGTTGGACTATATCAGGATTGAAGTCACATCCTCTAGCAATTACTCCAAACAAGTTTTCAGTACAGTTGTTTTTCAGTCCTGACTGACACTTTGTGACCCCATTTGGGTTTTTTCTGTTTTTTGGGCAAACATACTGGAGTGGGTTTAGCCAGCCATAAAACTGGGCCTAGGTAAGGAAATGGATTGGAAGTAACCCCTTAACTAATAAAAGGTGAAATTGCAGAAATCTTGTAACATAACCTCCAGAGAGACTGTTAACACAGGAGAAACAAGGCTGGAGGAAATGAGTAAAAGACTGAAATGTATCTGTCCTAACAACAGGTTAGCTTTTTTAGTCAGCAGTAAGTCAGTTCTCAGGGCAGCTAAGTGGATAGAGCACCGGCCCTGGAGTCAGGAGGACCTGAGTCGAAATCCAGCCTCAGACACGTAACACTTGCTAGCTAGCTGTGTGGCTCTGGGCAAGTCACTTAACCCTAATTGCCTCACCAAAAAGAAAGGGGAAAACTATTTGAAAAAGCCATTGACCAATAAGTCAGTTCGCAAGGCTGGGAATGGGAGGGGGGAGGAGGGAATCAGCTTCCACACCAGTGTCTCAATTTTCCAGTGTGCTTAATTGGAGTTCCTGAAGCAGACTTTAAGACCTGGAAGGCCACTTAGTCCAGTTTTATATGATCTTCCGAAGGGTTAAGTAACAGGGCTAGACTGGAACTGCAGTCCTCCCTACATCCTGCGCTTTTCCCACTCCCCCACGCCACGCCTCGTAGTAAGTACTCTATTTGCTAAATACCTCTAAATGCCGCCCTGGGGTCTCGGGGAAGTTTTTGATGGGGGACGGCCCCACTCCACCCCCACACGCAGCCACCTCGGTCCCCTCGCCGCCCCTCCCACGCCGCCCCCCGCAGGGGCTCCCGAGCCTCGTACCACTGCTCGCAGGTCTAGCCTTATAAGACGCCCAGAAGCGCTCTACCTGACATGCGTATTCCATGCATGCCCAGAGGTTCCGGCCGTCCCGAGGCGCTCTTTTGGGCCGCGGAGTGCGGCAGCCGCTCTTTCTGCCCGGCGGCAGCAGTGGGTGCGTGCAGATGATGTGGCTGGCGCTGTTTCCCAAGCCCCGGCTCGCGCTCTCCTTGGTGCTGCTGTTGTCAGGTTGCCAAGGGGACCCTCACGTGTGCGCGTGCGCTCGGCCTCTACCCCTCCCCCACCACCCCACGCTAGGCTCGCTCCGCCCCCGGGACTTCTTTTCACTAGGGACTTCTTTCCACCGATGGAGCCTGAGTTCCCGGCGTAAGGGGAGAGCAATAGAGGCCGGCAACCTTTTCTGATGCCGATTGTTGCTATGGGGGCCCTGGGGCCAGATACTGCCCATCATCTGGGGAGACTTCAGTAGTAACAGGGTGGCGGTTTCGCTGTTGTCTAGTCTTAGAAATACCTTTACTACCACCCCCACAATCATAGGCTAATGGCTAACGTTTATACAGCACTTTAAGGTTTGCCAAGCACTTTACATATCTGTAAGGTAGGTGCCATTATTATCCCCATTTTACAGATGAGAACACTGAGGCTAATGAAGGTCAAGTGATTTGCCCAGGGTTAGTCACTACTACTACTAAGTGGCTGAGGAAGAATTTGAATTCAGGTCTTCTGACTCGAGTTCAGTATTCCATTAACGACTACACCAACTAGCTTCCAGGATCTGATGTATCTGCATTAGCTTAGAGCTGGAAAGGACCTCGGAAGTTAGCTAAACTCATTCCCCTTCATTTTACAGCTAAGGAAAATGAATGATTTGCCTAAGTTCATGCAAGTAATATGCATCAGAGGCAGGCTTTGAACCCAGGTTCTGTGATTACAGAGCTCTTTCTAGTATGCTATATTACCAAGGTTGGCTCCTATCATAGGATTACAGCTGCTAAGGATTTTGGTACTCAACTAGGGGAAAGTGTGATATATCAACCAATCAACAAACATTAATTAACTTCTGGCAAGGCGCTAAGCCTTAGGGACAATACAAAGACAAAAATATGCAACAATCATTGTTCTCATGGAGCTTATTTTTGTGGGGGGGGATGTTTGAGGGGACAGGGGGAATGACACCATATGCATATGTAAGTATTGGGATAGGGACCTGTGATTTCATTGGTTTAGGAAACTCTCAAGCTAGGAAACCTCCTTTGCCAGTGTGGTTATTACCTCCTCTGTAATTTCAAGTCTTAAACTGTTGCCTAGAGTAAGAGGTTAAGTGACTTGTCCAGGGTCACACAGCCAGTATCAGAGGAACAACCTGAAGTAAGGTTTTCCTAGTTTCAAAGCTGGTTTTCTATCCACTACACCATTCTGCCCCATATCCATACATCTGTGTATACACAGGATAAATAAGGAGGGCAGTGGTAAAAAGGATGTTGGTATTGGAGGATACTTCAATCTGAATCCTTTCTCTGACACTTACCCTGTGACATCAGATCATAGGACTTAGAACCGGAAGGGACCTTAGAAGTCCAAACCCCTTTGTTTTACAAACCAAGGTACCTGATTTGTCCAAGATCACATAGTTAATAAGTATCAGATTCAGGATTCGAACCCAGGTCTTCTGATTCCAAATCCAGTGGTCTTTCCATAGTAGAAGGCTGCCTCTATCTAATTAAAGAAATATAAGAAAGAATTACCTCTGTGCCATCTAATAAATGTAGCCAGTCTGCTTGAAGTGGAACTCACTTCTATCAGAAAGTATGAGCCTCGAGGTACTAATGTACAAAAGGCCTGTGGAAAGCAAAATGCTTGTTCCACCAGTTCAAGGGTCTTCTGGATTTGTCTCATTTTCAGCCACCTTTCAGCATTGAGTATAACTCCAGACCAGCCCCCTGTGATCTCACTAGTCATCATCTGTCAGGGTCTCTGAACTATGAGACCCCAAGCCTCAGGGATCCAGAAGCCCTGTAATGATTGCACCAAATAGAACCTGTATCCATAGAATCATAACGTCATAGATTTAGAGCTAGAAGAGACCTCAGAGAGCAATGAGTTCAGCCCTCTCATTTTACAGATGAGAAAACAGAGGCTCAGAAAGGCTGTGTCTTTTCCAAGGTCACGCATAGTTAAGTAGCAGAATTGGCATTTGAACCCAGGTCCTCTGACTCCAAATTCAGGGTTCTTTCCACTTTGCTCAAGGCAACATAAGAGATCTCTGCTTTGGGGGACTAAGATTGGAAGTCAGGAGCCAAGTGATGTGTTCTACATTCAGTATTCATTTTTTGTGTGCATCACTAGACAGTTGTCTAGTGCAGAATGTGAGGTCTATATTGGCCCATTTTCCTAACACCGATCATGCCTTGCCAAATCCCAATTCTGTATTACTCCTGCCATCCACTTCCTATTCACATGTTGCTAGAACAGAGCTAGAAAAAATCAAGCAACCAAGCTAACTGGGTCCACAACACAATTATGTTGCACAATTTCAGCTGGGTCCTCACTGCCGCAACGCAATTCTTTCATGTCTCTCCAATCAATTCCCTATCTTAACCACCACTATTATTCCAAACCTTTTCATTGTCCTCATGTCTCTTTCCTTACCCCTTCCCCTCACCCTCTCGGATGAGAACCTCTTAGCTCATGCTTTAATGAAATAATTGAGTCCATTAACCAAGTCCTCTTTTCTCTTACTGCTCCTCAGCTGTCACTCAGGCATCTTCCCCAACTACATTGTCTTTCCACCTTTCCTATAACTGTCAAGGGTACCATTATCCTTCCAAGCCCTCTGGATGACAACCTCAATGCCATCCTTGACTCCGTTGCATTTATCCCCCATATCCAGTCTGTTGCTGGGTTCTATCAATCCTACTCAAAATATCTCATCTATACTCTCCTTCTATCAACTCAGGTGGCTACCACCCTAGTATAGGACCTCATCACTTCTCAAGTGGACTACTGCAATAGCCTTCTGATTTGTCTCCCTGCTTCAAGTCTCTCCCCTAGCCTCTCATCTATTCTCCACTCAGCTGCCAAAGGGATTTTCCTAAAGGGAAGTCTGACCTTGGCACTTCTCTCCCCTTTCCACTTAACTCATTAAACTCCAGTGGCTCCTGGTTATCTCCAGGATCAAATATAATGTCTTTTAATATCTTTTGTTTGGCATTCAAAGCCCTTCACAACTTGGCCCTTTCCTACTTTTCCAACCTTCTTGTAGTTTACTCCCCTCCAGAAATTCTGCAATCCAAGTACCTCCTTGCTATTCTTTGAACATGACCTTCCCTTTCCCAACTCCACACCTTTGCACTGGCTATCTCCCATACCTGGAATGCTGTCCCTCATCTCTATCTCTTAGCTTTCTATTCTCAGCTCAAATCTCACCTTCTGCAGGACTTTCCTGGTTTCCCAGTCCTCCCACCCTACCCTCAACCCCCACATTCCCTCAGAAATGGCTTTTTATCTACTCTGTATATATTTTGTATATGTCTAGTTATTACATGACGGCTCCCCTTTTAGAATGTGAGCTTCTTGAGGATAAGAGTGTTTTTACTTTTCATTGTATACTCAGCCCTTAGCCTAGTGCTTGACACATAGTAGGTTATTTATAAATGCTTGTTGACTATGACCTTAAGCAAGTTATATAAGTCCTCTAAGCATCCATTTTTTTCATTGGTAAAATAGGAATAATACCAGTAGTATCAACCCCAAAGGTTATTGTGAGGAGCAAATGTGAGTTTTGCAAACCTTAAAGGCACTATATAAATATTGGTTATTAGAATCTAGTCAAACCCTCTTTATTCAACAGATGAAGAAACTGAGAATCAGCAAATTGAAGTTATTGATTCAAACCCAGAACACTTGACTCCAAATAAAGTGCTCAAGTCTTCTCAAAACTGTGCTTGATTTCAGCTAGTTTTCTGCTAAATACCAAGGAGTAAGAATGCAGTTCATCCTGTGTACATTATAGCACAATTGTGGTGGAGGTGGTAAGGAAAAGCTTGATAAAAGTTTGGGTTGAGGGGTGGGGGTAAGATAAAGGTGAAAGAAACTGAAAAATGTTTGCCTCTCAAAGGATGGCATGATCAAAAAGACTCTTAATGCATCTCTTTGCTGTGGTTTTCCCATTCAGAATTTATGTTTTCTAAGTTAGAATTTTTTTGTTTGTTTTATGGTGAGGCAATTGGGGTTAAGTGACTTTCCCAGGATCACACAGCTAGTAAATGTCAAGTGTCTGAGGCCAGATTTGAGCTCAGGTCCTCCTGATTCCAAGGCCGGAGCTCGATCTGTTGTGCCACCTAGCTGCCCCTTCTAAGTTAGAATTCTACGTAACACTGGATATTCCATAGCTATATACAAGTTTTGCAGATAGACATAAAAGTTTTTAAATGTACATATGTATATGAGTTTATATTATATACATATATGTATATATATATATATATATATTATATATGTTTACACATTTATATATATGTGTGAGGGAGTAAAGGAAGGGAGGGAAGATCAGGAGGAAGGGAGAAAAGGGGGGGGAGAGGAAACAGAGAGAGGGAGGGTCATAAGTGAGGAGTGAGGAAAAGAGAGAGCAAGAAAGACAGAGGGTCGGGGCACCTAGTTGGCACAGTGGATAGAGCACTGACCCTGAAGTCAGGAGGACCTGAGTTCAAATCTGGCCTCAGACCAAACACTTGACACTTACTAGCTGTGTGACCCTGGGCAAGTCACATAACCCCAATTGCCTAAAAAAAAAAAGACAGAGGGTAAGCAAGCAGCATGACATAGTAGATAGCCAACTTCCAATTAAGAAACAATGGGTTCAGACTCCATCTCTGGTACATACTGCTTGTATGACCTTGGATAAGTTATTTAACCTCAGTGACACAGGTAACTCTAAGAGGAGCTTTAGAGAGCCCAAAAGTCTTAGTATGATAAACCCAAAGACCCCAGCTTCTGAGATAAGAACTCACTATTTGACAAAAACTGCTGGGAAAACTGGAAAAAAAGTAGTCAATGACTATAGTAATCTACTATTTTGATAAACACAAAAGTCTTAGTATGGTTTTAAGCTGGGCCACCCTATAAAATTAACTAAGGGAGGCCATAAACAGGCCCAACAGAAAAGGCATGCTGAAATATCTACTCTTAAACGTTAGAAGCGAGAGACCTTAGTGGCCACAGGTTCAAGAAAATCCTGCCTACTTCTTCTGAGCTCCATTTTTTTTTATAGGCAGGGTTGGACGCCTTGGGGTTGGATAGATCTGACTACCAGAAAGTTTCACAGATGGAGTAGCTTTCACAGCAAGCACAAGTTTATTTACAGGCTTCACTCTGGCAGTTTGGAATATTGAGTATTCAACCCGCCCCCCAGCCCATCTCCCACCTCTTTATGTTACAAGAGGAAAGGGTGGTACACACACACACACACACACACACACACATATACACACACACACACATATACACACACACACACACATGCCAGTTCATCCACATTCTTCCAGTAATCAAGCCTCCCACTCCTTGGTTCTGTTTTTTCATCTCTTATTTGTTAAGAAAACATGCCAAGAAAGTACTATCTATCTTAGGAGTAGGGTCCCTTAGAGCTTACTGTCTTAAGGGAGAATATGCATCCAGTTTGCCCTTCTCCTAGTCATCCCAAAAAGCATTCATGGGAATATAAAAGGAAGGACTTGACTAAAAACCCACTTTAGGAAAAACTTTAAAGAAGAAAAAAAAGAGAAAAAGAAAAAAATCCTCCCTCCCATACAAATATTTGAAGCTAAAACAAGGGGGAGGGGAAAGCAAATGCAGGCCATTGTCAGACATGGTCACTGTGCTGGTTGGTTTTGCTTAGCTATTTCTTTGTTACAAGGGAAGGCTCACTGGAGATGGGGGTGGTTAATAGGGAATAACATGTAAACAACAAAAGGCATCAATAAAATATTAAATCAGAAAGAAAAACAAAAGAGGGAATGCAGGAGAAGGATATAATTTAAGTTGGGAGGGTTTAACTAGTTTCATTATCTTTGGGTTTCATGTTTTACAGGTCTAAAATTACAGAAGGAAAAATTCGGGGGGAGGGGCAGCTAAGTGGTGCAGTGGATAGAGCTTCTGGCCTTGGAGTCAGGAGGACCTGAGTTCAAATATGACTGCAGACCAGATACTTGACACTTACTAGCTGTGTGACCCTGGGCAAGTCAAGTCACGACCCCTATTGCCTCAGCCAAAAAAAAAATCTGTCAGTATTTCCTGATTAGAGTTATAACCCACTTTTCAAATCTGTAAAACAAAGGGAAAAAATGGGAATCAGACAAGCAATTAAAGTTAAAGGTTTAATTTTATACAATTGTTTGTGTAGGCAAGTACAATGACCAATCTCATAAGATAAATAGATACACTATTCACAATGTTTTCTAAACAAATGTTATATAAAAATGTTACATAAAATACAAATGTTATATAAAAGGGAAAACATGAAAATTGACAACAAAATCCCAAAATAAATCCCATAATTTTTATTGCCCAGTTTCATCTTAAAAGATATTTCTTCTAAATTTTAAACTGTAACCCAGAATTCTATGTTTAGTTTTTGGACATGAACAAGTTGGGAATTTGTTTTGCTTAACTGTATATATTTGTTACATGGATTCTGTTTTTCTTTTTCTTTTAAATTGGGGTGAGGGGTAGAGAAAGAGAAAAATGCTTGCTAATTGAAAAAATAAAATACATTTTTAAAAATTTCCATTTATTTTTCTATTTCAGTTTGCTTGGCACTGTCTTCTCTTAATGAATTATTCTGATTTTCAAAATTATGATATATTTCCTAAAGCTTTCACTAAAGTCTTATTATGATGCCCCATCATGGCATGGAGGTGACCTTGGGTTCTTGAAGGTTCTTCCAAGAGATGGCAAAGTCAGACAAATCCTAATCAGCTGGAAAAGCTTCAAGTACAGCTCCGATAACAAACTCAGTGACCCAGCCCAACACAAAAGGAACTCATCACCAGGTTGGTGATTCATTTTTTGGCCATGGCAACAATTAAAGACAATCTTCTAAGTTAGACAGTCACAAAATTATAGATTCTTGAAGTGTTTCCCAACTGGGAAGAAAATTCATATTTTTAGTGTGTATTTTAATTCTGCTGAACAAAAACTCAAGGCTTCTAAAAACACAGTTTCAAAAACATAAGTATATATTAAATATGTTAGTATCTCATTTAAAATAGATGTTTTAAATAAATTAACATTTCAGTCATCTAAGTTCCATGTGCTGTGAAGAAAAGAGATTAAAGTTTGTGTTCTGTTTAAAAGTAAAAACCTTTTTGGCTTCAAGCTTGCAACATAACATTCTCTGGTTATAAGGGCTGACAGACACTGGAGGGTACTCACTGAGCTTCTGAAACCAGCTGGGCTATCAGTTCTCGTGCATCCTGCATACTGGAGGGGATATCTGTGTCATTCTTGGTTACGTGGGTTCCAAACAGGAACAACTTTCTATCATCTCCAATCTCAGACAATCCCAAAGCCTCATGAATATCTGTGATACTATATGCATCTTCAAGATCCTTGGCCCAGAAAGGAAAAGGGAAAAAAATTGATTATTTTGCATGTTGGTGTAAGCATGGATATTTTTCCAAGGATTGGTTTTCGGACTAGAGTATCTCCAAGTTCTCTCTTTCAGCTGTGAAATTCTATGATTTTATGGAGTATATATGAAATTACATATATGTGTATATACACACACTCATACTACACACACATACACATAGACACACACATACTCAGTTATTCTTTTTAATTTATATTTTTGGCCAGTCATTTTAAAGCTTTAACATTTTCATGGGTAAAAATAACAGCTAAGATTATAAATAAGCTTTTTGATGTTGGGGGGGGAGGGCTTTACTCTAAACTTCAGGAATGAAGAGAATACGTGAGAATTACCCATTAACAAAACAAGCACTTACATTTTCACAGCAATTTAACAACTGCCTTCAACTGATTAGCATTCAAAGCATATCCAACAAGCCCTATGTCATCTTTAAGACATTTGTCAGAAAATCAATTAATTTCCTGGGATCCAATAACTTGCCAATATTTGCTACTTGACAAAAGTTCACATGAAACATCTGATATCTAGAGACAGTCCTAACTACCCATTCACCTAGAGTCTCTAGGTTCTGTGTATTGGTAGAGTACCAGAAAGTTCCATACCTGTACAATATTATCATAATTCTTATTGCTATGCTTATACTGCAATAAGATCTAATGTTTCAGTTCTAGCCTTTGTTGAAAGTAAGAATAAGAAAGGGGAATATCCCTATATATCCTTCAAAAAAAGTCAAGCTGAAGACAGTATCAAAGGGGGTTTACCCACGGACATCTTTTTATAAAGATCCATGTAATAATTACTTCCTAAAATTTAGGGCCAGGAAAAAGTGTCTGTAAAAGAACTTCTTTTCTTTCTTCCACCAGACAAGAAAATTATATAATCCTATGTTTTTGCTTCGTTTTGTTTTGTTTTTGCCTTGGCTGTCAGGAAGCTCAAAGTCAAAGTCTTTGCTCAAGGTTAATGACTAACATGCCAGGTGCCTGCTACATCTATTTCTCTGCTCATTTTGACCAGGATTTTGTTCTGCTTTGCTTTTTATCTTTAATTGTCCTGTTAAATAGATATTTGAGCTTTGTAACAACCCTTTTGTCTTTTTTGGAAGAAAACAAAAAAGAAGGAAAATGGGGCCAAAGGTGGCAAAACTTGTCAAGTATATCTTGTAACTGTGATAGAATATGTATCTCCAAGATTCTTGGCTGGGAAAACCTGGATTTATTTAGTCCTGTAACTTTAACCTAGTAAATTTCTGAAACTAGGTTAAAGGAACTAGTAAACATATAGGTTATATTTTTTAAAAATAACTGTGCTCAATTGTCTTCAGAAATGAAAGAAAACAGGTACTTCTGAAATTTAAAAAAAGCTATTTAAATTTAGATTATCTTAAATTTATACAGTTTTATCTGAGCAAAAGTCAGAGCCTAAAGAATAAGAATAGTGATATTGAATTTTTTTCAAAACTCAGAATGGATATGTTATACGATAAACAACAGCAATGAGGAAAGCTAAAAGCAGAGTTTTATATTTCTAATTCCAAGAAAAATCTATAAATGAGGAGGTTTGGACGAAATGATGGCTGAAGTGCCTCCCAGCTATCTACCTCTATGAACCTATGAACTTCTAAAGTTGTATGTCTGTGTGTATGTGTGTGTATGTGCCCTCCTCATCCCTAGGAAAGAAAAAAACAAACATGTATTCTTTCCTGTGCTAGGGACCATGCTAAATGTATTATAAATATTGTCTCATTTGATCCTCACAACAACCCTGGGAGATAGGTACTATTAACATCCTCACTTTACATTTGAGGAAACTGAGACAGATAGCAGTTAACTGACCTCCTGAGGTTCATACAGCTAGTAAGTATCTGAGGTCACATATGAACTGAGGTCTTCCTGATGCCAGGTTCCATGTTCTATCTACTACACCTAGCTGCCTCAAAAAAGATAAGGATATCAGCTGGAATTTCAAAGTCATTCATGATTGGAAGCTAGTAATAAAGTTAAAAATTTATTACTGCCTGGATAATATTCCTTATCTAGATTTATTATGAGATAAAAAAAGTGGGGGAGGAGGCTCACAATCAGCAAATAGTATATAGCATTAACCTAATGGATTGGGCAATGTTTGGTATAAACCAATTTAATTTCTTAATTCAACATGAATGTCACAGTTATTAACTCAAAATAGTATTTTCTCTTGTCTCAGTTTCCACTGAACATTAGACAGACCTTAAATTTAAAACTAGACTTTAATTCACCAGTATTGGATATTAACTGAACATTCAAGGTAATGGATATATTTCGGATAGCAAATCTGAATTTAGTGAAGCTTAAAAATACAGGTTCGCAACCTCATATATTGTAGAGTAAAAAGCACCCAGCAGATTTTCCCCAAACTTTGTTATTACTTTGAAAACTGAGTAAGTGCTAGATATACATCTGTCTGGTGTTAAGATCATAAGGGGTCAGAAAGTAGCTATGATGAACAGGGGGAGCTATGCGGCAGTCACAGAGTGGTGGAAGTTAGAAGGAAGACCTTGGTTGGAGTTCCGGGACTGGAACTTAGTAACTATTTGATTTTGGGCAAATAATCTGCCTTTTCTGAATCACAATTTCCTCAATTATAAACACTATTACTCAACATTATCTGCTTCATAGAGTTAAGAGCTATTGGAAGCATCAAAGGAGATGAAATACATAAAGCTTTGTGAACTCTAAAGAACTATCTAAGCGTCACCTATTATGACAACATGTTCCTCAGTGGAAAATCCAGCCCTTTTTTTATTTTTTAGTGGATGGAATCAATGGGATATTGGTTACTTTCCATGAAGAAAAGGCCCATCCTTTGGAGAACTTTTTTGTCTCTTTATTTGTTAGGGTAGATTTTTCTACTCATTCCTTTTTAGCTTCTGTAGTTCCTTTTTTTTAAGGCTGCTCTGTATACAGGAAATATCGTAGGTAACCATTGTATTAACACCAGATACTGCATGTGCCAACTTGTCCTTTTCAAAGATGGGCAGAACCATAGCTAAAAGTACAAAAGGTCAGACCAGAGAGCCAAAGTAAACCAAATACTTTTCAATGAGCTTTGCCAAGTTTTTTCTTTCTTTTTTTCTGTTTAATTTAATATGAGGTTGAATGGAAGTGGTCCAGGTCAAAGTTGTAAATGCCTGAATCCCAGAAAGATCTACCCCCCAGGCTCTATCTCTGCTCTTTTTATCTCCTTTATTTCTTCCATTTTCTTCCTTTATAAAAATTAATAGGTAGAGTCTACCTCCCACAGAAGGAACAAAGTAAATGGACATCATCCTATCATTATTACAGAATTTTAGAGACTTAGCTAGTCCAGGGGTGGGGAACCTGCGGCCTCGAGGCCACACGTGGCCTTCTAGGCCCTCAGGTGTAGCCTTTTGGCTGAGTCCAAGTTTTACAGAACAAATACTTTTATCAAGGGGATTTGTTCTGTGGAGTGTGGATTCAGTCAAAGGGGTGCACTTTAGGACCTAGAGGGTCACATGTGGCCTTGAGACCACAGGTTCCCCACCCCTGATTTCCAGTCCAATGTAATCCTTGTACAGAGGAAGACTAGAAACTCCTGGAGAAGACGTAGCATTCCTAAGGTCAAAGAGGAACTAAGGAGAGAAGCTAGAATTCAATTTTGGGTTCTTCTCTACCTCCCTCAAATCAGATTTTTCCCCTGCAGCATATCTTAGAGGAAACTGTCTATTCAAGCCAGCAGAGTAATTTTTTTTTTCTCAGTGAAGAGGCCTTTTACTTCCTTTTTTTTAAAGTGAAAATGCATTTTATTTTTCCAATTACATGGAAAAACAGAAGAGGCTTTTTTCAATATCTTTACCTAAAATAAAATGCAAAAAAGGTTTTGGAGGAAGGTAACACATTCACTCTTCCTGAATCACTCTGGTTAGAAAGAAGCACCACTTTCTCCCTTTAAAAACGTTATCAGTGACCCTGGGCAAGTCACTTAACCCCAATTGCCTAAATAAATAAATAAATAAAAATAAATTCTAAAAAAAAATGCTACCAGTATTTCAAAGTTTACAGTTCTATATTCTATGTACACTTTAACCTAGACTTCTACTCTTAGTCACCATCTATTTTGATTACTTTGGTAGAAATATGACCAAGGAGATATGAAGTGGGCTCTCTATTGTAGACAAACCCAACAGATACCCTTTCACCATTTAAGCAAAGGATTGCAGATTTCAGATGTATCAGTGCTGTTCTGGATAATAATAGTAATCGCTATTATTAACTCACATTTTTAGAGTGTTTTTAAAAGTTTCCAAAGTGCTTTTCTCCCAACAGCCCTGCAGGATAGGCAGTGAGAGTTTTTATATCTCTACTTTAAAGCTGAGGAAATTGAGGCTCAGAGATGTTAATTACCCATGATTACAGAATCCCACAGCCTCAGAGTTGGAAGGCACCTTGCAGGTCACCTGAATAGGAATCCCCTCTCTGCAATATTCCCACAAACTTCTAGCCTTTGCACAAAGATTTCTAACAAATTCACCCAGCTAGGAAGTCATAGCCACTATCCTAACCTATGTCTCTTGACTAATACTAAACACACAACAACAATAAAAACAACAAAACATTATGTGCATAAGCAAAAGACAAAACTGAGTCAGGACTAATTCACCAAATAATAGGGTTAGAAGGGACCTCATAGGCCAACTCGTTCAAAGCATATCTAAATAAAAATTGTTTCTACAGCATACCCAAGAATGAATGAATAAATGAATGAATGAAATATTTATTAAATTCTTACTGTGTGAAAAGCACTGTGCTTTGCCTGGTGCGAAGGAGCTCACTACCTTCCCTGAGGCCTCTCAGTCCACTTTCACATAGTTCTAATTATGAAGTTTTTCCTTACATAATGCCTAAATCTGTCTCATTTTAACTTCTACCCATTGAACCTAGTTCTGTCCACTAGAAAAAGGTAGTTCTGCCCAAGTAGAAAAAAGCCTAATCTGTCTTCTATTTCTAGTCCTGAATGTAAAGCATAAAGTTAGCTATTTTAAAAATAAGAAAAAAAGAATCTTTTTTCTATGTTAAACACACACACACACACACCACACACACACACACACACACACACACACACACACACACGGGGCAGCTAAGTGGTACAGTGGATAGAACTGTGGCCTGGAGTCAGGAGGACCTGAGTTCAAATGCGGCCTCAGATACTTGACACTTACTATCTGTGTGACCCTGGGCAAGTCACTTAAACTTGATTGCCTCACCTAAAAGCAAAAAAAAAAAAAAGCAAAACACACACACACACACACACACCCCATCTAGTAGGTGGTATACATGTGAGGTTTTACCTGTTTATTTGCAAAAACAACTAGAGGAAGGGCTGGACCTTTTTGGATCAGCTGATGAAGCTGTTCTTTGGCATCAGGTAAACGTGCGTGATCTGCTGAGTCCACCACAAAAATCAACACCAACACCTTGGAGAGATACATCTTCCAATAAGAACGGAAAGGCTCACTGCCTCCAACTGTAGGAAAACAGTAGAGGGACGTCTAATCAATAAATCATAAATACATGGTCCCAGAAGGTTCTTAAAGGGCTGAATCACAATCTGAGAGGAACCCTAGTCCACCTCTGGATACAGACTTTACGAAGAGCTATGGTGAAACTAGTAATGGGATGGGGCAATGGTGTAGTTCATGGATCAGCAAACAATGACCCATGGGCCAAATCCAGCCTGCTACCTGTTTTTGTGTATCTGCAAGCTAAGAATGGTTTTTCCCATTTTTAATACAATAAAACTTTTAAAAATGGGGAAAAAACCCTTCTTAGCTCCACAGGGCCATATAGGAACAGTTCAGCATTTATTGGGACCCTGGGCTGCAGTTTGTCCACCCTCAGTGCAAGAAAAAGTGACCAGGGTTAAGTGACAGAAGACCCAGCTGGAGTATTGATTTTGTCACTTTCTAGCAAGGTTATCCTGGGGAAATCACTTAACTTCTCTGTGGCCTAGTTTCCTCAACTGTGAAACGCAATTCGCTAATTTAATGAACATTTATGAAGAACACTGTACTTACGTGGTAGAAGAGATATAAAGATTATTATATAAGATGAGGGTCTTGTCTTCAAGGAGTTGTAAGAAGATGATAAGATGTATACATGTATGTACATATAACTGTAATACACAATATTACATGACAAGTACTTTTGAGATGTGCAAAACAAAGTGTTACATGCTATGACATTGGAAGAGAAAGGCCATTACCACCAGGGAGATCAAGGAAGCTTCATGGTGGAGGTGATATTGAAGTTGCACTTTAAAGGATGGGAAGGAATTCAACACAAAAAGAGAGGGAAAAAAGAAGACAATTCTAGGCTTAGGGAAAGGTGATTAAGCAGAGGCAGAGAGAGAGGGGATGAGAGAGAAAGAGAGAGAGAGAGGGAGAGAGAGGGAGAGAGAGAGAGAGAGAGAGAGAGAGAGAGAGAGAGAGAGAGAGAGAGAGAGAGAGAGAGAGAGAGAGAGAGAGAGAGAGAGAGGCACAAGGCAAGCAGTAGTGGGAAGAAGGAAGAGATACTAGTTGGCATCCATAAATAAGGGAGAAGGAAGAGTCAAAGATAACACCAAAGTTTCAAACACAGGAGACTGGGTTTAGTGTCACAGATAGAATAGTGAAATCCAAAGTAGAAACAGGGTTAGAGGGAGAAAAGGAAAAAAAATGCCTTTGGACCTGTGTCGATGTGACATCTAGGTAGAGATGCCTGGTTTGCAGTAGAGATATATGTCGGAAACAGAGAAATCAGGACAGAAAATACAGTTTTGGTAGATCTCTTTGTAGAGGTGGTATAATACTTCTGCTCACTACTTATAAAGAGCTGTTGTAAACGATCAAATGAGATAATGTGTTGTTGTTGTTGTTGTTGTTGTTTGTCCTTGAAGAGGACCGGAGACATCATGGGGTAATAGCTTGACTTTTGAGTAAATTGGATTTAAATGAGGCAGAGTTGAACAGAGTTGTTAGCGTCACTTTCTCTTCCAGACTCATTGAAGTCCAATGGCAGGACAAAAGTCAAGATGATTGGCGATGGCACAGGATGCAATGGACAACGTTGGCTCCTTTGATGCCCGACCAAACTCTAAGCACTCCACGGTGCCTGCTTCAATCACTTTCATGCCCATTGGAACCAATTGTCCAACCTACACCTGAAGCATGAACCATCTCTGTAGCATCTTTGTTTTGGCATCATACTTACAAGATGTGGACAAGAGAAGTCTGTGTTACTGCTTACCAGAGAGAATGTGTGAAAGTGCTTTGTAAGCCATAAAGTGCCATATAAATGTGAGCTGTTACTATTGTTATTTTATTCTAGTTTCTATTTGGTTCTAAGGAGCCCCAGAAAGAGTAATTTCACCTCAAAGGAAAGGAAAGATCTGGCAGCCTTCCTACCACCACCACCCCTTCCTCAGTGTAGCTCATTTTTTTCTGGCCCATCAAAAGATTAGTTTGATAAAGATGCTAAATATTGGGAGGGAAAACACTTCATTTGCCAGATCTAATTCCATTTTTGTTCTTTTTCCTTTTGATGTCCCCATCTCATATTTTTGCCTTTCTTTGCTGAGTTGAGAATTTCCGATTCTAAAACCATTTGCTAGTAAAAACAGAAACTAAAGAGGCAGCATAATGCAGTGGATAGGTGGGTGGACCTAAAGCCAAAAAGCTCTAGATTCAAATTCTGCCTTGGATAGTTACTAGCTATTTGACTTTAGGCAAGTGATAGTCAAACCGTGGGTAACCCTTTAGAACTTAAGTTTCACATCCATAAAATGAGGATACCAATGCTCTAATCCCTCACGGGGTTTTTTGTGTGACTCAAATGAGATAACATAAAAAGCATTTTACAGATGTTACAATATTATGTAAATATCAGGTCTCAGTTTTGTTAAGCTAGGGGGCACAGTGGATAGAGGGCTGGGCCTAGAGCCAAGAAAACCTGAGATCAAATCCAGGCTCAGACACTTGTTAGTTGTGTGACCCTGGGTAAGTTATTTAACCTCTGTCTGCCTCAGTTTACTCAACTATAAAATGGAGATAATAATAGCACCTCCCACACAGGGTTGTTGTGAAAAGCGATTGAGATTGTATTTATAAACCTGTAGTACAATGCCTGGCACATAGTAGGTGCTTAATAAATGTTTGTTTTCTTCTCCTATTTCTAAAAATATAAATATAACTGAAATTTACACCACATTTTAAGGTTTACAAAACAAAGGTTTACATGTATCATGTCATTTGATCCTAATAAAAATCCCATGAGATAAGTCCTATAGATATTATTATCTCCCTTTCACAAATGAAAACCATTGTGGATAGCCTAACCCCCTTATGATGAGTGTCCCTCAAGACTCTGTCCTGGGCCCTCTTCTCTTTTCTCATGAGTTCAGTCATCACAGCCATGCAGATGACTCCCAGATCTATACACATATTCAGTCCTCACCTATTGCCTTAGCTCCAGTCCCAGCAGAATAAGGTGTTTTAATGAGCATGCATCTTTCTGATCACCAGCTTCCTGCTAGATGTTTTCACTTGGGTTTTCCATGATCATCTCAAATCCAAGATAAGTAAAACTAATCATCTTCCCCATTAAACCCACTCTTCTTTCAAACTCCGTCATCCTTCCTATCAACTAGATTTGAAACCTCAGAATCATCCTCAACTCTTCATTTTCCTTCATTCTCCATATTCAAATCAATTGCCAAGTCCTATGAATTCTCCCTTCACAATATCTTTTGAATTCAACCCCATCACTCTGCTCATACAGCTACCATCACAGCTCATAATCTCTCATTAACTATTGAAAAAATTGATTTATTGGTCTCCTGCCATGTCTCAGGACAAAATCTCCAATGATGATATTCACAGTGTGAAGGTATTTGTTCATAGGGGTTAATGACATCCTGTGGGACGTCTATAAGGGACACAAAGGCTTAAATCAAGAGTGAGAGGGGGAGAAGCCTACATTGGTAAACCGGTGGAGCGTGCTTTTGCAAGTCTGTCTGTGTGCAACTCTAAGAATGTTCCTCAAGCGTGCACCGTGGAATATTTAAATATTAATTTTTTTTCTTAGTGGTCATGTACTAAATAACTCAATAAAAATATCAGAACCTAATGCTCCCATTCACATATTACAAAGATGTGTACTCGTTAAAAAGCTAAAGAATCATTGACGACGACAACGTACAACTTCAATATAAACAGATAAAACAATTTGTTCACAAGTAGAATAGAACAGGCTGACTTACTCTCTAGGAACTCCATCTGCACGTCTCCATTGTTGATGCACACTGCATTGAAGCCCTGGGTGGAAGCAATGCTATGCTGGGCTTTATTTGTAGCTAAGGTATGGAGGACACTGGTCTTTCCTGCTCCATCCAGACCCAGCACTAGGACTTGCTTATTTTGTGCTTTCTCCTATGAAACGGAAAATGAATCTTAGGCCACATCTGTGTACATCTAGAAGCAAGCAGCCAGCCATTTAACCAACAAGACTGAATCCAACTCAACAATCCCTGCCTTCAAGCAGTTTACATTCTAAATGGTAGAACAACATATACATATACAAATAAATACAAAACATGTACATAGTGTATAGATGGTAATTTCTGGGAGCCCCTCATGTAAGAGGTGGCACAAAAGCTAAACTTTGGAGGAAGTCAGGAATTCTAAAGTGGAGGTAAAGAGGAAGTATTCCAGGCACAAGGAAAAGCCAATGCAGCAGCATGGAGTTGAGAAATGGAATAGTGTGCACGTGAAACAAGCAAGCTGGCCAATTTGAGCTGGAATGTAGAGTTCAAGAAGGGGAGTAATATCTAAGCCTGGAAAAGTAGCCTGGATGCAGACTGGGAAGGGCTTTCAAGGCCTAAGAAAAGTTTAAATTTTAGTTTAGAAGTAAAGCTCTTCCTTTGAAACTCTTCAAATGTTTAATTTGACCCTACCTAATTATAAAGGAGCTTCTGTATTTGGAAATATGTTAATACTATACTAGGGAGGTGACTTGTTCCCCATAACCTCTCAGACCTTTCTAAAACAGAAATTATGTGCCAAAGATAAGGCAACTTCAGCTGTCCTCAATGGACTAGGACACTCAGAACCCAAAAGAAGGTTAAAAAAAAACAACCCATGAAGTAACATCTCCCCTGAGCTCACTCAGGACAGTTCCCCCAGCTCCCATGCCATTGGCAGTGAACCCCAAAGACCCAACACATGGGCATGCATTCAAACCTAGCCCCACACCCTCTCTTGTAGAAAGCCATGGAAATCCTGGCTCCAGGCTATGGAAGTTTGCTGAGTCAGTGACTAGGCTGGGGCATTGCTCTAGGGGCAGAAGCTTGCTGGGGCTGCAACAGCCAGCCAGCTCCTTGGCAGATAGCTGTCTGGGCTGCAAAAAAATTCCGAAGGAGAACAGAGCAGAAGAAGGAAAGGAGTAAGACAAATATCTGGGCTTGAAATAGAGCTCAATACCACACATCCCTCCTCCCATAACCTCAGAGACCCAAACTATAGAAATCAATCTGGACTGCCTTTGGCAAACCAAAGGAGATCTTGAAGCAAATGTGGGGACAAGATGACAAGGAAAAGGGAATAGCTCAGAGGTGGACAGCATAATCGGGACAGAGGGGTGGAGGGTGGGGAAAGACTTACCATGGGGCAGTGTTCTCTCTGACACCTGCAAGAATTGGCAGAGACCAATAAATCAATTTTTGCAATAGTTAATGAGAGATTATGAGCTGTGATGGTAGCTGTATGAGCAGAGTGATGGGGTTGAATTCAAAAGATATTGTGAAGGGAGACTTCATAGGACTTGGCAATTGATTTGAATATGGAGAATGAAGGAAAATGAAGAGTTGAGGATGATTCTGAGGTTTCAAATCTAGTTGATAGGAAGGATGATGGAGTTTGAAAGAAGAGTGGGTTTAATGAGAAAGATGATTAGTTTTACATATCTTGGGTTTGAGATGATCATGGAAAACCCAAGTGAAAACATCTAGCAGGAAGCTGGTGATCAGAAAGATGCATGCTCATTAAAACACCTTATTCTGCTGGGACTGGAGCTAAGGCAATAGGTGAGGACTGAATATGTGTATAGATCTGGGAGTCATCTGCATGGCTGTGATAACTGAACTCATAAGAAAAGAGAAGAGGGCCCAGGACAGAGTCTTGAGGGACATTCATCATAAGGGGGTTAGGATATCCACAATGGTTTCATTTGTAAAAGGGAGATAATAATATCTATATCTATATTAAATATTAAATTTAATATTTAAATGTCTTTTCCATTGGCACAATGGAAAAGGGGAATCCACAGGGCAAGTTCTATAAGGCAGTAGCAGAAATTGCCAAAAGGGGAGAGCCCAGAATAGATATCTTGGAAGTTTTGATTGTATAAGGAATATAAAGAATAGGGACTTTATAATTATAGGGGTCATGAACCAGAGAATGAGGGCCTAGAGTAGACAGAAAGAAAGTATAGATAATGAAAAAAGAGAAAGCCTCTCTGGAAAGGGGTACAAAAAATGAAATTTTTAAAAATAATGAACAGGACTAAAAGGGAGTCTTTTCCCTGTGGGGAGAAGAGGAAAAGGGAATCTATCTACTTGACTGAGTGAGAGCAGGGGAAGGGGGAAGAAGAATATAACCAGAAAAATGAAGGTTAAAAAAAGTCTCTAATTAATAAGCAAACCCCCAAAGGAAAGGAGTAACAAATGAAAGGGGGCAGGTAGGAGAAATAAGGGAAAGAGAGTCAGTAGGAATAGGGTCACCTGAAAAAAGATTAAGCTAAAGTAACTGAGGGAACATAGTACTATCTTCACAGCAGAAGAAGGAAAAATCATAACTTGATAAAAACCTCATATTAGATAGACAAATCTAATAGAAATAAACAGAGGAAAATATACTCCTAATTTTTATAACATTAAATGTGAATGGATTAAACAATCCAATAAAATTAAAAAGTGACAGATTGGATAAGAAAACAAAAACCTGCAATCTGTTGCTTACAAGAAACAAATTTAAAAAACAAAGATATAACACAAAATAAAACTGAAGGAATGTAAAAAGAAGTTTTACTATGTATTAAGTGAATCAAAAAAGCAGGAGTTGCCTTCATGCTATCTGATGAAGAAAAACAAACATCCAAATAGTAAAAAGGGATAAACAAGGAAACTACATTATGCTGAAAGGAACCATAAACAACAAACCAATATCATTAATAAACTTATACACTAAAAATGTCTTAGTAACCAAATTCATAAAGGAAACATATGAGCTACAAGACATAGTAAGACAACAGTGACAGGAAATGGTCCACATCCCTTTTGGTTCTGGATAAGACTAACAGAAGAATAAACAAAAGGGAAAATATGGAACTGAACAAATTGCTAGAGAAACTAGAATTTAAAAATTTATGACATTTTCTAAACAGGACTGCCAAAAATATACTCACTATCACACAGAACTTTTATAAAAATTGACCATTGTACTAGGGAGCAGAGATATTGCAAACAAATGTAAAGAAATAGTTCATGCATACTTTATAGACCATAATGCAATAGAAATAATCATTGGTTCAGGGAACCCAAGCGAAAGATACAGACTGAAATAGAGATTTAATGATTCAGTCTTAAATAATGAGTGGGTCAAAGAATAAATGACAGAAATAATTAATAATTATGTAAAAGAAAATGATATTAATGAAACAACACACCAAAATTTCTGGGATGCAGCTAAAACAGGGTTAATAAACTGAATGTTCACTTTAAAAAAATCAGAAGGCCACAAATACACATAAAGTAAGCACAAAAAGAGAGATATTAACAATTAAAGAAATAGATAAATTGGAAACAAAAAAAACCTCTCGTTGATATAATAAAGAAAACTAACTGCTGGTTCTTTGAAAAGACTAATGAAAATTGACAAATAGCTAATCTGATTAAAAAGAAGGCAGAAAATCAAATCAATAAAATAGCAAAAGAGCAAGGTGAAATCACTACAAAATCAGAAGAAATAAAAAGAATAATCTGAACATCTTATGCAGTTATATACTAACAAAACCGAGAACACAAAAGAAATAAAGAAACACTTTCAAAAACATAAAATATTCAAGCGCTCAGTAGAACAGATTGATATCTTAGATAACTCAATCTCAGAAAAGGAAATAGATCTAATTTGAAGGAACTACCTTTAATAAATAAAAACTCCTGGTCCTGACAGATTCACAGGAGAATTCTATCAAACTTTTAAAGAACAATTAGTACCATACTTCACAAATTATTCTCAAAAATTGAAAAAGAAAATATCCTATCAGAATCCTTTTATGAGACAAATATAGTCTTGATAGCTAAACCAGAGAAAGATAAAACACAGAGAGAAAACAACTATAGGCCAATATCATTAATGAATAGTGACCCAAAATATTTTTTTAAAATTCCATTAAACACATATAGCAATTTTCCAAAATGACTCATGACCAAGTTGGATTTATACCAGGAATTCAACGATGGTTCAACATTAGGAAAACAGTCAGCATAATCATATTAGAAACCAAAACATGCAAAACCATATGATCATCTCATTAAATGTAGAAAAACTTTTGACAAAGTACAGAACAGTTTTATGCTAAAAAACCTTTGAAGTATAGGCATAAAAGGACCTTTAAAAAGCACCTATCTAAAACCAAAAGCAAACCTCATATGCAATTGGGATACATTAGAAGCTTTTCTTTTTAAAAAAAAAATATACATTTATTTATTTTTAGTTTTCAACATTCCCTTCCACAAGTTTTTGAGTTCCAAATTTTCACCCCTTCTCACCCCTCCCCCCACCCCAAGATGGCATGTATTCTGAATATCCCTTCCCCTAGTCTGTCCTCTCTTCTATCTCTCTTCCCTTCTATTTTCCTGTAGGGCAGGATAGACTTCTGTACCCCATTTCCTGTATTTCTTATTTCCCAGTAGCATGTGAAAACATTTTTTTTAAACATATGTTTTTAAAACTTTAGGTTTCAAATTTTCTCTCTTCCTCTCTCCCCACCCACCCTCATTGAAAAGGCAAGCAACTCAATATAGGTTGTACATGTGCAGTTATGCAAAACATGTCCATAGTAGACATGTTGTGAAAAACTAACTCTACCCTTAGCCCTCCCATTTATTCTATTCTTTCTTTTGACCCTGTCCCTCCTCAGAAGTATTTACTTCTGATTACCCCTTTCCCAATCTGCCCTCCTCTCTATCATCCCCCTGCTCTCTTGTCCCCTTCTCCCCCTATTTTCCTGTAGGGTAAGACAGATTTCCACACCCAATTGAATGTGTATGTTATTCCCTCCTTAAGCCAAATCCTATGAGAATAAGATTCACTCATTCCCTCTCACCTTCCCCATTTCCCCTCCACTGTAAGAGACTTTTCTGTTTTTTTTT